CTCTCTCTCTCTCTCTCAACCCTCCCATCCTTCCCCCTCGGCCAGATCAACAAAGACCCCGATGTGCGTACAGAGTTCTTGTTCCTAATGGGCGACACACTGCCTGTGGAGAAAGCCAAACAGACAGGACGGGGCTGGTCTGTGCCCTATAACCTTCAGAGCTACTACTTCTTCATTTGTGAGTTGTTTTCTTAGTTTTTAGCTCGCCTCCAAAACGATCAAATCAGTCTACAGCAGGGGTTCTATTTCTTCTTTGGTGTATTGTTGTCTTTGTTTGTTGTCACCCTAAGTAGCCTGCCTCTTAAATGTTCTAAATGAACGTTCATAGCTGCTATTTCTTTATTTTTGTGAGTTATTTGTTTTGTTTGCAACCTACCTCCTGAATCATCTCAATTATTAAACCTTAGGAGACAGATACTGTTTTTGAATTTATTGTGAGTTTTTTTTTTGTTGGTTTTTTTTGGTTTGAAACCCGCCTCCTTAATGATCTACGAGAGTCGTTCAAAAAGTTTTGCCTCCAAGTTCATAATTTTTTAAAAATTACTGGTGCTACATACAAAAGTTATACACCAAATGAAAGCTAGGTACTTTTCAATATTGTGGCCTTCTTTGTCGATGCAGATCAACCAACGTCGAATAAGTTGTCGCATGCTGTCGGCGAAAAATTCATGTGGTTTTCCTCTGAACCAGCGACGCACATCTACTTGAATTTCAACGTCATCTGCATAGCGTTTTCCTTTGAGGTACTCCTTCAACTTAAGAAAAAGATAAAAGTCAGATGGAGCAAAAGTCTGGACGGTTTGATGGGTTCCGTAAGGTCTTTTAAAATCTGAGACTTTTCATCGCATCTTGAGTTTGTCGACTCGTGTGTGGACGGCGTTGTCGTGGTGCAAAATTGCATTTTCTTCGGGCCAAACTCGTGACAGCCATGTTCTAAGTTTTCTCAGGGTCTCAATGTATCGTTCAGAGTTGATAGTGGAACCCTGTTGGAGAAATTCCATATGAATCAGACCATCGCAGTCCCAAGAAACTGCTATAAGCACTTTCTTTGCAGATGAAACAACTTTGAACTTCTTGCGGCTAGGTGAGCCAGTGTGCCTCTCTATTTCTTCCATTGTCTTTTGTTCTCTGGGTCATTATGGTGCACCCAAGTCTCGCCTCCTGTAAAAATACGGTGTAAGAAAGCTTCACCTTCTTCTGTATAACGAGTCAGGAGTTCATCACTAACGTTACTTCGGTTCAGTTTTTGCTGGGGTGACAACAAGTGGGGAACCCACCGTGCCCACACTTGCCTGTAAACCAACACATCATGGATAATATACTGAGCACTCAATACAGAAATCCCTAGCATTTCTCTGACATCTGATACATTGATCCGCCTGTTTGTTTCGATGATCTCATCCACTCTCTCCTGGTGTTGAACATCACTGGCACAGTTGAGATGACCACAACGAGCTTGGTCATGCAAATCTATCTCTTATGGACTAGTTTAAGCAAACTCCTTTGCCCATCTTCGAACAGTACTTACATCTACACATGCTTCACCATAGACAAGCTTCATTTGCCTATGACTATCAATGGGTGCAGCTCCCTCTGCAGTAAGGAAATCAATAACAGCTCTTTGCTTTAAGCGTACATTCATAGGTTTGATGGACGCCATTTTCTCAGCGACAATGTACCATAGCTTCTATGATGCAAACAACAGTAGCATAAAGGTGTGACATTATAGCATTTTTGTGTGTTTTTTTTTTGTTGTTGTTTTTGTTTTTTTTTGGGGGGGGGGGTTGAGCCTACTTGCTAAATGCAAAAGACAGACACTATTGTTCATATTTGGTCGCTTTTAAGGACAAGCAGGCTAACCCAGATTTCGGGGGTTCCCAGAAATATTGACCTGCACCAAAAGTGAGCATTGCCCTACCTATAGTAAAAGTTTATTTTCATTGGTGCGTATATGTATTTTTATGGGGTTATAGAGAAAATTCTCCTTGTCTTAAAAAAAAATTAAACAAGGGTCCAAAACCTTTTCCTTCCATTTTCTCAAAAGAGCATTTTTAGGCTAACCATTGTGCTTAAAAGCGACCAATAATTTATCAATTCCATCTTCCTTTTTTTCTGTACCGCCCAGTGGGACCGCCTGTGACTATCGGTGGCTTCTGGCCGTTCGTCCACACTTATCATCTGCTCAAAAGGAAAAACCTTGTGGTAAGTTGTTTAGTTTTAGTTTTAGTAAGGCTTTGCAGCGTTCATGAGCGCCAAGGGATGGATGTCAACGGAGAAGTCCAAATGAGGAAACAGGTTTACTTTGCTCACGTCTCTAGCCTCAACAGCACAAAGTCTACTTCGACTATCAAGGCACCCAGGAAATAGCAGTTCACAAGAGAGTGACAAACATACAAAAGAAGAAGAGAAAAAATGACGATAGTAAGGATGAGGAAAGAAAAGGCAACAGTTCTCCCTATGTTGATACGGCACAGTATGAGCATGACAGTTACAATTCTACTGTGCTTAAGAACATGTTAATATCCCCCCTTTGTCTATGTTGTATCGTTTTCAAGAAAATAACGTTCCCTGTAATTTTGTAATGCATAATTTCCAGGAATTTACATTCCTCATAGAATACTCTGAAATATATTACTTCCTAGAAACTGGCATTCCTCATTATGTATCATTGCCGTGCAAAAACCAACCCTCCCTCGCCACTCCAAAACATTTTCCTTAATGACTCATTTTCTGGGAAACTGGCAACCCATGCAATACATGATCACTTCCAGGAAACTGACAATCTACCGTAATTCACTTTTTCCAACAAACCTAATGATATTCCCTCCACCCCCCCCCCCAACTTTTTATTTCCAGGAAACCCTGACCGTCCTAGCATTTTACGTCCACTTCGGCTACCTGTTTGGCCCGATGCTAGGATTCTGGGGGACCGCCAAGCTCCTTTTTATGGCCAAGTAAACAATTGTGTGCTTGTGAATGGACGCTTGTTGGTTGCGCTGGTGGTTACACCAAGATCAACAGCAACAACAACAAAACAGAAACAACACCAAGAAAAAAACCCAGCAGCAACAGCTACAAAAAAGCAGTAGCAGCAGCACAGCAACAACAGCAACAACAACAAAAACAACAACAATAACAGCAACAACAGTAACAACAACAACAACAACAGTAACAAACACATTCTTGGGTGATTCCATACTATATGCATTTTATTTCTAATTTATGAACTCATATGTGTGTGCGCGTAAGAGGGTGAGGGGGGTGTGGGGGTAGGGCTCGTGTGTAGTTGTTTGTGTGTGGCTGTGTGTTTGTATAGCCTTACGTTTACGACCTACTCACACCTTACTTAAATTGTGCAACTTTAAGCTTACAATTTAATTAAGCTACTTTGATAACTGTACAACTCTAAGCTCGAGACTTAGGCAGGTCACAGAGTGGCTCTGTAAGTCTGACCTGTAGCTCGCCTAACGCTCGGAGTCTGCGTGTCAGCACAGCAGCACTAGGATTTTAATTTAAGGACTTTTCTAAAGACCTGAGGGAACCCTGTGTGAGAGTTGTACATCTTCTCTCCTGTCTCCTCGATCGTTGGTCTGTTTTCCTTCTTTCATAATTCCAATCTCCTCATACGGTAAGATATCCTTCCATCCTTACCTAGCTCTTGCTTCGAGATCTGTCTAAGGATACTGCCCACATCAGATATTTAGATAGAATCTAGATCTAGATTTAAATCTAGATCTAGATTTAGATTCACTTCCACATGACAATAATGGCCGTCATGTAAACATTAAACGGCACCACAATTGTACAGGTGCACCGAATAGAAGCCATTGAAACAAGCACAGAAACTTTAGTAGATCTATCAGCTATTGATATGGTAGTATGAATCAAGTTGCATGATATAGACCTAGAGTGTCTCGGCGAATTCACAGACATACCGCTTTTCAAGAGTCGCCCTTCGGTCATTGCCAACAACTTAGGGGCCTAGATCTAGATCTACTTTCCGAACTGCACACTCTTTGCTGGGTGCACAACAAAATATAAACTCTCTAGATCTAGATTCTAAATAGGCTACGTTTATTCATTAAATACTCTCTCTCTCTCTCTCTCTCTCTCTCTCTCTCTCTCTCTCTCTCTCTCTC